AGGGTGGTCCTCGTCCGGCTGGAGAAGGAGCAACGCCAACTTTGCCGGCGCTGGAACCCACTGGCGGTGGTACAGCAGGAAGTTTTCCAGCGGAAGGCAAGATGCCTTTTGGAGTGGACCTTCCCGTTGCAGATTATCAGAAGTGCAAAGGACGGGCTTCAGAGTTGAACGGGTATCGGGTCTGGGTTGAGAGATTTGCAAGTTGGCTTTGCTTGATGAGCGAGAACTACAGGTAGAGCTGAGAGAGGCATTGCAGTCCAGGCATGCTATTGATATTTCTTGGTTAAACCGGGGTCAGCAGACACGGAGTCGCCGGTTGCTGAATTTCTTGAAGCAGGCGTTGAATGGGCATAGCAAGTCAGATCATGTTATTTCGCACTATGTTTCTACGGTTTCTGAAGGCTTTTGGGTGTTGCAATAGCATCATGGGTTTTCAGACCAAAGAGAGCAGATTGGTTGACATTGTTCGTGCAGTTGAGTCGGAGCTTCACCGCTTTGACACCATGATCCGCGGGTGACCTCTGGATGTGGGAGATCTTCAGATTTGGAAGCAGACAAAGATTTGCTTTTGATGCGAGATTACCAGAACATGTTCGATTGCATTGCCAACTTCGCTGTTTGGGCAAACCCTGGATGCTCCTTCTCAGGCGGTCACGAACTATGACCTCAACACGAGAGTCATGGGGGACGTGGATGTGCTTTTGCATGGTCTGAAGGGTAATCCCAAAGAGAACTCGGGAAGAATTCCGGTAACCCTTAGAAGGGGAAGAAGGGCGACGTTCAGCAGAAAGGGAAAGGCAAGTCAGACGGCAAAGGAAGGGTGGAAAGGACGACCCAACAAGCGCTCTCACAGCCAAGGAACTGTGGAGGACACGTTTCAAAGGACTGTCAGCAGAAGAAAGTCTGACGATCGAGGCGCTATCCTGGGACCGTGCTGGAAATGTGGACAGAGGGGACATGCGAAAAAGGATTGCAAAGTGAGAGGGTTTGTCGAGCCCAATGAAGAGGACAACCTCGACGATCCTGGTTCTTTGATGGCGCTCAGTCACCAGTTCGTGACGTCTTCGTCGGTGAATTCAGTGAGTTCAAGTGAGACGGTGTACAGATCCTCCGAGTGTACAGATCCCGCAGGACGGTGGCTGGTCGACAGTGGGGCCACGAGTCACATCATAGGGAGGCAGCATTTGCAGTGTGACACGGTTGTTCATGAATATGAAGATGTTCGTGGTGAACTTCGGGCTGCAAACAACTCCTTGATCGAAACCTATGGGGTCGTTGACGTGAGGGTCCGTTTCAACTTGACAATGGGCGTGCCAAACAAGGGGTCCTGTCCAAATGCATCGTTGCAGATGGTTGGGAATGTGTTCTTAGTGACGGCAGGCGGTCCTTTCTGCGGTTTTCAGTTCCTGGTGGAACTGATGTTGAGATTCCGTTGCATTTGAAGGAGCGTGCTTGGTGGGCACAGGCGGTTCGAGCTTTGTGGCGAGGGACAACTTTAAGTTTGCTGGGTGCCCAAGTGGAACCTTAGAGAATTTTTGGGTCGGTAGGAGTCGATTTTTCTTTCTAGTGAAACAGGTTCCGGGGAATCCAACTCACTGGCGCACGGTGAGGTTTCAGGAGAAACAGGATCGCGCTGGTCAACAGGCTCCAGACCTTCGCATCGGTAGGCGACAGGGCGAGCAGGAACTGGCCTTTGCCTTTCGTGGTCTCCCTCCCAAATGGAAGAAGTTCATTGAACAGAAACCGCACCTCGAGGCTTTGAAACCAGGTCTTCAGGAGATTTGCAATGGAAGTTGTTGGGTGTTTGTTGAGATCTGTTGCAAACAAGGTTCAGCTTTGGCATCGGAGTGCCATCTCAATGGGTGGACGCATCTTGGCGTCGACGCTGCAGTTGACGTCGCCAAGACAGCTACGATACGTGTGCTTCAGTATGTGCTTAGGGTGACAGGACGTTTGAAGCGCTGTCATCTTATGGTGTGGTGCTCGACACCGTGCACTGCGGGTTGTAGGATCAGACATGTTGGGTTTGCCAGTTGGAAGAAACCAAAAAATGACTGAGGCTTGGCGCAAGCAGCTTCGTGTTCACAGAGGCATCTGGCTGGCCTTGGAAAGACTGGGGCTCTTTGGAGGAGAAGAAGGGAGAGTCAACCGGCGCTGCCTGGACGGGATTCACAAAGCATGGAGGATTCGGTCAAACCGAGGTGAGTTAATTGCTTTAGTTGACACTGGTCCGTGCAGCTGTTGTGACAAAACCAAGATCCCTATGAAACAGACTGGGTTCTACTCGAGTGAGGTCGCACTGTTTGGTTAGGTTGCCCTGTCTTTGGTTTGGGATGTTTGTGATGTTTGAACTTCTGATGATGCTCACGTTCGTGGTCTGGCGGTGTTTGGCGAGTCTTCACTGCGGCGCTGTGCCGGAGCCGGAGAAGATAGGACGCCTGGGTGACATCCACATAATTCGGGAGCAGAAGAATGGAGTTTTTCATCCATCAAGCTTGTGGGTCGAGGAAATCGACTAGTGTGGTGAGGCCATGTCCGCCCTGCGCACATTTCTGGCCGTCTTTCAAGTGATGACCACTTGTGTGCACGGTTTTTGGTTCAGTTTACGACATTCGAGCTTGTGAAAAGTCAGAAACAGACAGATTGCGCAGTTGAGACAGACAGACAGAGAAGATCTCAAGACGTTGACAAGGAGATGGCTGCAGGCACGTGCATTTGACTCATGTGCAGCAGAGTGATTTCCAAACGTTCCCCCAACCGCCTTTGGAGGACGTTTCACGGGCATGGTTTCGTTTTGCCTCGCAAGCAGCGACAGCTGGTTGTGTGACTTTTGTGAGAGCCTTTGGGCTTCAAGTTGAAGCGTCCTCCCAACCGCTTAGATGAGTGGGTCTCCAGCAACTTCAAGGAATCAGCAGACTGGACAGCGATTGTTGAGAACTTGGATGGCTTTGACTTGGAATGGTGGCTGTGCTCGGTCAGATCGTATGCATCTTCGGCAGAGTTCAGCATTGTTGACGGTTTTGGTTGTGCCAGTTCGAGCCAAGAGGGGGTGTGAAAATTTGTAAACCATGTTTGACTTGTCTCTTCACTGGCGTTGTGGCAACTAGGAGTTCTCGCGACAGCAGAGTTGCAGACGGTTTCCAAGTGTTGACACGTGTTTGGTTTCTTGGTTGGCTTGACTTGCAGTTGCGCCATTTGATCCTTGATGCTGGTGGACGCATGGGACAACCGATGACTGTCGCCATTTGATTGCTCTTGAGGATCGGCACGCATCAACAGACTTCAGGTGGATCAGGAGTTTAGGCCCTTTGGCCCCCTTGTTGCGAAACTTTCACGGCACTGCTGACCTCACGTAGCATCTCGTTTTGTGTTTGGCTGTGCTTCGCTTGCGGTAGTGTACAGACCGTCGCAACCACCTCGCGGTGCATGGAAAGAGCCCAATACTGATAATAAACCACGGATTGGATTTTGACAGATATCTGTGGATATTGTTTTGCAATTGGAGTATATCGACATATATTTATCCTGGTGAGTTGGATTCATATTCGGTTGCAATTTGCATTGTCAGAGGATGTTCCCCATCCACTTATCCGAAGTCGAGCCCTCCGCATTGCGGCCCCGTCGCTGCGTCTTCACGACCAGCGGGAATGTGGTCCAAGCCGAGTAGATGTACTTGAAGGTGAAGCGATGGGCGTACACCCCTGTCAAGCTCGGCAGGTCCCACGTGCGAGTCTGCCTTGTCCAAAACACGCCATCGCCCTTAGCCCAGAAGATCCCCACCACCTGCTCCGGCGCCGGGCGCTCACCCCGGTTAACCTGCGCTCGGATCTCCAGGGCCGAGTAGATGATCGGGTCGATGTGGTCCCGCTCACACGTGAGTGGGTGGGTCCTGCGCTCCAGGGCCAGGAGCTCCTCCGGCGAGAGCTTGAATTGCTGGTCCGCGCCCTTGGGGATCTCACCGCTGGAGTGCTTCTTCCAGATCCCCCCAAATTTCAGTCTGGACTACATTGTTGAGGAGTTTGGCAGATATTTGCATATCTGTGGAGCCTGATATTCCTTTGGACGGTGTCGAGTTTTTTCAGGGAGGGGTTTGGGGAAGGCTGGTTCACCTGGGATTGGTGTCTCTTTTACTTGCTCGGTGCTTCTTAGAAAGGGGGTGGGAGGTTGAATCCGCCAAAGCCCCCAAACCGCCCACAACCCCCCCAACAACAAACAGTTTCTAGGTGAGCAAGCTGAATCCCCCAATCCCCCCCCCCCCCAACCCTTCGGTGAACCCCCAAAAACCCCACAGCCCCCCCCCCAAAAAAAAAACGATATATATATATATATAACATATATATATATATAATATATATATATATACATATATCTGTAGTAAATAAATAAAGAAAGAAATCCAGGACCTCCCAGAACCAAACCCCTCGCAACACCCCCCCAAAACCCCCGCACCAAATCCTTGCAGGTGAACAAGCTGAACAATCCCCTAAGAATCCCCCATCAACCAACCAAATCCTTTCAGGTGAACAAGCTGAATCCCCCCCAGAATCCCTCTTCCTTCAACAGAAAGGTTTTTCTTTTTGAACCCCCCAAAATCCCACAGCCCCCCCCCCAAAAAAAAAATAATTAAATAAATAAATAAACATATATAATATATTATAATCTGTACATAAAGAAACAAATCCAGGACCTTCCAGCACCCCCGCCTCAAATCAGCCCCTCCCCCGCACCTCCCAACCCAATCCTTTTAGGTGAACACGCTAACCAAACAAGTCATTTCAGGTGAACAAGCTGAAGCCCCCCCCCCCCCCCTCAAAAGCAACCCCCCCCCCCCCCCCTCCCCAAAAAAAACTCTCCCCCCAACAAGAACATTTTTCAACAAACATCCTTTCAGGTCCAACACCACCACCAAATCTCAGGTTAACAAGCTGAACAATCCCCTAAAAATCCTCCATCAACCAACAAAATCCTTTCAGGTGAACAAGCTGAACAAGGGCCTGCAGATGTCCACCTCCAAGATCTTTTGGTCCGGCGGCCTCGACCGGTCTCTGGGCCTGGCCCTGCCCAGCGGCGGCCTGCTGGACCTGCAGAGCTTGGTCTACGCCTGGCCGGGAGACCCACGGAGAGACCCACTGACTGACCCGGCCGCCGGGGTGGCTTCTTTTTTTTTTTTCTTTTTCTGTTGTTGTTGTTTGGTCTTTAGCTTCTTCTTCTTTTTTTTGGGGGGGGCCCTCCCTGCCCCCAGGTCCCAATGATGGACCCTCAAGCTATCCATGACAAACGGGATTTCACCACCAGAAAACTGGGTTTTAATTATTCATTTTTAAGTTGGAAGGTTGAGGGTCCATGTTCCCCTTTGTTGAGGGTTGAAAGGAAAACCACAATGAACACAATTCCCCGAAGATACACTCACCCTTTTTGGCTCGAATGGGCATGCCAGATGAAGCTGTCCAATCTCAGGATGCCTGGAGCCATCATGGCCTGCCATAATGGAAACCCGAGATGAATATGCGTAAACCCCCTTGTTGTTGTGATCGGGGCGTGACCCCGTTGAATGTGGGGATGCAGACCACTGTTGCAGGGCCCCCCACCCTCGTTTCAATTTGACGGGTTGATTAATTTGGGTCAACATGGGAGAGCCAAAAAGGAAACTTCCTATTTTAGGGAGCCTTACTCGGAGATTGGCCCATGTTTCCTTGTTCAGGGTCAAAGATGGTTGGCATGTTTTGACAAGGGCTTGGTGCGACTGTGGAATCTGGAGGCATTTGGCTCAAGATGCCGCGCATTATTAACTCCATACACGTTGGTGGGGGGTTAGGGGTCTTTTGGGGGCGGGCGATGTTCCTAAGAACTAGACCCGCGAACGGCTCATTTGTTGACCGTTGGTTCGGACGAAGTACCACATGGGGCGCTCCTGGAAGGCAGTTCTCTCTGGAATCCACCAATTCCATCATGTTGGGTTGCAGTATTTTTGCAGGGGACCAGATTTCGCGGCTGAAAATAGATCAACCACGAGCTATGGGGACGTGGTTGTTCGCAATATGGGCGTGGCTCTCCTTTGGAGTTGGTACCTTTGTTTGGGTTGGTAGCAATCGGGAAACGAAAGGAGAAGCCAAAAAGAGAATGGGTGTCACGAGGGCTTTGGGCACCCAGCTGAACCGACATCAGCTTGCTCTAAGCCTTTGGACCAAACCAGAAGGTAAAAAGTCCAACTAACACAAAAAAGAACACGGACAAAAAACAAACTGGTTATTGCAACCTGAACTGATGGAATTGGTGGATTCCGGTTCTTTTTTTAAGAGCAGTTGTTTTTGGTTCAGGAGTGTAGAAGAATCGGATACCTGACCTTTTGATATCTTATGTTTCTTCCATGTTGGTGCATGTTTTGTGAAGGTCCAAATAGCTTGTGATTATTTATGGGTCCGTCGGGAAGTGGGATGTTTTTTTCCCCCAACAGCTGAAAGCTTTGGGCTCAGCCCAGATAGGCTCCGGGGTGGTCCGGGGCGGTTCTGAGGTAAGGTTCCACGAGGGTTCCACCAGGGTTCCACCAAATTTCCACTAGAGTTTCCACGAGGTTCTGCGAAGGCTGCGGGGTTGCGCGAGCACTAAAAAGAGCACCGCATGCTGGTGGGGATATCACCAGACCTTTTTTTTTACGGCTTACGCAAATTTTCTAGCCATCTCTCAGACACTTTTGCGCATTTCGTGGGGTCAGTATAGGGTCAGTTTCACACATTTCCGCATATCACGGGGGCCTCCAAGGGCCGACTTGCATTTCTCAAATAGACATACCCCAGAATTAGTGGCTGCACATGGGTTATACGTGGCTGCGCGCCGCCTCTTGTGGATTGTTGTTTTTTTATTCTTCCTTTTTTTTCCGGTACATACCCCAAAACCATGCCTATATTAGGTTCCCCAGCTTGGTGCCCTTTTACCCTTTTTGGGGGTCCCCTACTAAAAGAGAGTACAAAAAATTGGGTACCTGATTCTAACCTCTCAAATGTGGAGGAGCTAGTAAAGAAGGACTTCACCCACCAGCTCCCTACAATTTCTCCATTACCCAAAATGGCCACCCCAGAAATGCCCAAGACCATCACTTCTCCAGAATTTGCTCCCCTTTTTGCCCATTTTTTTTCTTTTCGCTTTTTTGGTTGGTTCCCTTTGTTTTCCACTCACCAGGCAAAAACGATATATATATTTTTTGCCGGGACGGGTCCGATGTCTCCCGCCATGGGTCTCCGAGGATCTTCAACAGCACGGGGGCCTACGAGCTTCCGGAGCCCCAGGCCTTGAGCTCCTGCGGCTGTGTGGACCCTCAGGGCCAGGCGCGGCGCCGAACCTGGGGGCTGGGGGGGAAGCTGGGGGGGAGGCTCGCGGCTCGGGTGGTTCTCATGGGAAAATTCCGGTTCAAAACGAGATCTCGGAGGTTTCTGCATGAAAAAAAGGGGAGGCAACGAGGTCAGTGCGGCTTTTCCTGGGGCACCATGGCTTTTCCGAGCTTCTTGTGGAGAAACAGGGGAGGCTGAATGCGCTTCCTCGTGGGTTCCATCGAACAAGATGGGTTGGTGTCTCCTTTTTTTCCCAGAAAAAAGAGTTTGTTAAATATGAGGCATCTGAACATAAGATTGTCTGTGTACCTCAGATGTGGGCCAAGAAACAACCATTTTCTTTGGCAAAGCTAAGGGGAAAGCCAAAAAATGCAAAAGGTCATGAGTTAAGCAAGTGGTTTACTCCCACTGACCCCTTTTTTTCCTGTTGCCGCGACAGTGCACCAGTGGAACTCATGTGAAACCAAGCGAGTCCAAAGAGGTTGCCGGCAAAAGTGGCTTGCCCGGAAGCATTTCTGGACCTGAGAAAAGGTTTGCCGGTTCTCACTTAGGCATTCTACGGATTTGGAAAATCGATTGGCATGCTCTTAGAAGAACCACCAACACAAGCCCATGCTTGCTTTGGTTTTTCAGAGACCAAAGAAACATACCATATTTGGTGTTCAATTATCCACTTCCTAACCGGGCTTTCTACTTCTTGGATCGGCCAAGCTAACCGTTGGGGTTTTTCACCCACCCAGAAGCCTCCCGTCCAGGGGAGCTAAGCTTGGGGTTGCTAACCCAGGTGGCCAAGCAATCAAGTATGCTAGGGACCCAGTTGCTGACCGCGGGACCCAGAAATCGATGGTTCACCAGATAGGGCCATTGGCTGAAAACGAACTAAAGTACTTGGTGATTCCCAACAAATCGTCCGGTGCCTTAGGTGTTTCGTGGTTTGTCGTTGGTTTAGTGGTCGGGTTTCCATTTAACCCGCAAGTTAAACTTTTAGCAGGGGATCAGAAAACAAACAGCCTACCTTAAACAGCAGATGTCCAAAGACCCGCAAAGAAAATCACATCAATCCTGAACGGCCCCACCGTTGGGTTTCCAATTTAACCCGCAGATGGAAAAACCGAATTCCAAACCTGAAAGGCCCAACCGCTGCTAAATAGTTGGTGGGTAGTTTCCACTT